GCTGAAGTACACAGTAAAAAGTATTTTGTATTTGTAGAAACGGAAGTCCACATTATAATTTTATGTTAAATTTTTAATATATCCGAATGTTAACATAATGTAATTATTTGAATATTTTGTGTTAAATTGATATTCAACATTTCTTACAATAATAACTATTTTTGAGTGAACAAATTACATAAAATAATGTTTTTTATAACGTAAATTCTCAGATAAATAAAATTATTTTCACATATTATAAATATTAAATTTATTAAAAGCATGTTAATTTAATATATTGTAAATGTTAATTATAATAAAAATGATTGTTTATGAATTGTGTCAATACTAGGTTTTTCGTATTAATTTTTTACATAATATTTATGCTACTTTCTAACATATTTATCTTGTGTTAATTAAATTAACACAAAAAAGTGTATATAAAAATTTAGCTGAATGCAGATCTAAAAATAATTTTGTTAGACCATCAAAATAATTATAGGATACTTTAGAATGTTAAAATTTTTTGCGGTATTATTCATCATGATTGAGATTCTACGTAATTATTTTGATCTAAAGTTATTTTCAATTTGTATCTAGCTAAATTTTTATATACTTCAGCAAAATTGTTCTTTCCATGTACTTTAATGCTCAGACTCAATAAAGCTAATAAAACTCACTGACATTTCACGATAGTAATTTTACAGAATTAGAAAACGACAGACGACTTCTGACAAGCTAATCTTTCTTTTCAACGATTAAGATTGAATGCGATATAATAATGGGACACCGTGTACATTGTGCTGCACCGAATTGATGTATGTGCTAAGGCGAGACGAGACAAGACGAGGCGTATATAAATACACATTGCCGCATTGTTTACGTTGTGGTCAAAGACACAGAAAGATTTCTCGAGCTAACTCTAATCACAATGATGCATTAGCACGCTAACGCGTGTCGCAATATAATCTCTCTCCCTCTTTTTCATTCTCTTTCTCTTTTGCTCCTTCCTTTTTTTCTATCGACGTGTGTTTAAAAATGAATTACGTGATGCAAGCGCATAAGGATTACATGGTTTATCCTGAAATCACTTGCATTATTTACTCTGACGAATAAATAATGTAAGCGATTAATTATAGCATTTCTTCTAAAAAATGTATTCTTCTTTCCGTTTCTCTTTCTCAGTAATATATAAACATTTTTATTATATAATTGATTTTGTAATAAGATTCTTTTTCATTTTTATTCTAATATATTATTTAATTATCTGAAAATGAAGACGAGATTGACAAAATATGACATTTTTGAAAAATCTAAATATGAAATATCTAATTACGAAGAGATAAAATGCTGCACTACCTTTTGTTTAAAACATTTTTTTATATATTGCACGATTTCGATAATATTCCATTGAAATCAGATATAATGAATTAGTTTCGAAGAATTGTTTTAATTCCTAAATGTGTGTGAAAGCACATGCAACAAGAATTCATGTCTATTTTTAGCAGTCTTATCACAAATCGAAATTAGCGAAAGGTTTCCTTTTCAACAATAAACAATTAATCTTTTTCTACCGCATTTATTGCTAAGGAAAAGAATATTACGTACATACATAATCGGAAAATTTATATTAAATGTAACATATTTTATGTGAATTACAAACTTAAATGTTAATTTAACACAAAATGAATATTGGATGTTGAACAGATATTACGCAAAAAATTAACATAAAAAACATTGATGCAATTTGTAAATATTTCTTTATTAAAATTATATTTATAACGTTAAATTAATATGTTTCAATAAATTTAACATTTATATATTAAATTAACATATTTTATTCATTCTAATCTGAGAATTTACATATTATATCCATTCTTATCTTATACAATTTACGTTTTAAAAAACAGTCTGAGATAAATGAATAAAATACATATTAATTTTACATATATTAATTAATTTTACTTTTAAAATATGCTTGCACAGTCTGCTTACAAATTGTGTCAACATTTGTTTACATTTTTTGTTATAATTTTTTTATGTAACATTTTTGTTATTTTTTAACATCTACTACTACTATAACATCTTTAACTACAACATTTTATTTTTTATATAACATTTATGTTACTGTTCAATAACTGTGTAATGTTCATTTTACTTTTTAATATTTTTCTTGTATTAAATTAAATAAAAACAAAAATTTAAGTGGTCTTTTTGGGACACTGTGAAATGTGTTTTTAACACAAATTTTCTTATTTCTATAATGCGCGTGCGTGCGTGCGTGCGTGCGTGCGTGCGTGCGTGCGTGCGTGCGTGCGTGCGTGCGTGTGTGTGTGTGTATGTGTGTACATAAAGAAAAAGATTAGTCTGGACTCCAAGAATTCTATTTACATTCGTTTCATTAAAATAAATTTAATTTTAAATAAAGCATATTTTGTTTAGCCAAAAAAATTTAGTTTTAAAGATAGTAATCACATTCTTAATTTAAACATCCATTTGGTTGGACAATGCATAAATGCATTTATTTGATTTGAAGAAACCTTTTCTCTATATAGACATATGAAGAAATGAGATTTTATGTCAACGACGATGTGATTTCATCGTCTGCGGAAAATTACGTAGATGAGTCACGCTTGCGTGCCCGCCGGGCATCGGGCCCCTGAATTCGTCGAAAATTTACAGTCGGTTCCAGTTCCTGCTTTTAACGCACAGGATTGTGTAACTTCAGCTCGACAGGATTGCAGAAAGCGAGTGTAAACACCAGTATACCACGTGACTTGCCGCAAATAGCAATTATCGATCTCTTTCCCGTCGTCCTACGTCCGTCAATTGGGATAAGATCTAGCGTATGTCGTGCGCGAAAAATGACGTAATCCGAAGAGAGTGCCGTAATCGCTCTCGGTCATGTGCGACTTTAGAGCAATAATATTGCACAATACTTTCACAATAATTTATGATCTATCTGTGGCATAATATAGCGCTACAATCGATATGACATGGAGAAAGGATTGTTGATGAATCAATAGCGGCGACAAAATCCTGTTGCGCAACGATGACAATTGTCACACAGATCTGCAAAATGAAAACAAACGCAGGTTGTACAACAACTACGCGCAAGCCGGATGCGAAAGTGAAATGAAAGCGATACAACGTGTGGAGGGCCGCAACGTTCTCGTCAGCATCGGCAAGACAAGACCACTTTTGCAGATCCTATTATTTACGGTCGTTGTTCCACGATGTTGCACATTTACGACGAGCGCGGGGCTAACAAAAGACACATCTGTTTTTTTATAGATGAACTCATGTGCATGTTCTATACTGAAAGTAAAACATCAGGCACAATTGAAAAGTACAGGCAACAGGGAATAACAATCACAAAAATTTCAATCTATCAGGAAACATGTAGACCAGAATATAATTCTAAATAGATTAAATTTGTTATTTCCTGTTCCTATATTGCGTGGACTTTTTAATTATATCTCAGGCTTCACTTTGCAATTTAATGAGAGCTAGGAAAGGTCTGTTTTTTTAGTTCAACTTCTTGCAAAGTTCATCCTTTCTCCTTTTCTCTCCAGTATGAAAAAAGAAGAGAAAAGATAAATCAAGAAACCGAGAACAGAGGAACCTTCTAAGTTCTAGCCGTCTACTTCCATCAATGTAATATTAACTAACTTACTGTTTATCTTTTTCTAATTCTTTGAATTATTCAAAGAATTATTCTAATTCTTAGAGCTAGAAAAAGACAAATAGTAAGTTAAATCAAGATTAAAGTTAATCTCACATTGATGAAACCTGGTATTTCTACCAATGTAAATTTATAATTTAATTTACTCTTCATCCTCTTCTAATTCATAGAATACTAAAGAGATGAAAAGTAAGTTAAACTAAGATTAAAGTTAATCTGCAGCGGTAGAAAGCGGATATTACCTGGTGCAAGAATCTATGGCATACGGATTTACGTTTTTCTTGTTATTCCTGCGGATCCCACATCGCGTTGCGAGCGTTGTGACGTGTTAGCAGGCATATCGGCTCGCGCAATTTTTATGAATGAAGCGGACGAGACAGCGGCGTGGCCTTCGCGCCTTCGTCGACGGCCCCGACGAAGAACGAACGTCGATTCGCGGATCGGCGCGTTCCTCGTCGCAGGGATCACGCGGCGTTAAAGCGGCGGCGACGGCGGCCATTTTCGTCGCTTTGTTTATGTAGCAGTGTCCGCGAGGCGAGGATATACCGTCTCATGTACTTACGTGCGTAATACGTGCGTGTGCGATATACACACACGTTACAGAGAGGGGAGAGAGGAACATATTCTTGGGGCCCCATTTCCTTTCCCCGCCCTCCCCCCTTCCCCTCATTACATTCTCAGTCCAAATGGTTCATCTTGTAATTTTTTCCTCACCTCAAACTGCCAATGTGCTGCCTGCAGCAATTGCTTCGCCTGCTCCCTGGCACAGCCCGCGGCCAACACAAACTGATTGATCATCACCTGCTCCCGAAGTGCGTCCATTTTTTTGTGTTGATCACGTTTCCAACGATGACACGAAGGGAGAGTGTCACGGGGAGTTTCGGGGACGGCCGGGAGGGAGGAAGTGAGAGAAAAAGAGAGAGATAGAGATAGAAAGAGAAACAGGATAAATATCTTTATAGATATTTAATAACTTTATAGGTAGAAGCACACACAGGAGAGAAAGAGAGTGACGGACGGACGTACGAATAAACAGCTGAAACGAATGAGGGACGGAAGGACCGTTGAAATCGTAGTACACGACTTGTCCCACAACGCACGGCGTTTTAATCCTCGTCCGCCGTCTTGCGCCGCACTCGCGGAGGCGCTTCCGCTTTTCTTTAAGCGCAAGCCGTGTGACGACGCACCACGGTATACGGCGGGCGGCCCTTTGTTTTCAAAACTAAACTCATCGCAGACGACCGCGACTGCCGCGAGAGCGCTACGGCCGCGCGGCGACGACGACGACGATGACGGCGGGACGCGGGGAACGCGACGGGAATGAAGTGAAGTGTGACTAGCTCCGCACGTCATGCGGCGTCAGTCTCACTTGAAGTTGGCTTCTGGTAATCGAACATATCGTATCTCTAGATATTCGTATATTATGATTGTCGGATTTTGAAAGTTTTTTTTTTACAGGAAATTACTTTCTCTCTTTTCCTCTTTCTTCTTTTAATGTTAAAAAGAAGACATCAAAACTTTCGGTTTTATATTTAGAAAAAACACGCATATGGGTGCAACTTCATGCGTTAAAGTAATTAACAAATACACCCCGCGTATATATAGTGAAGTTTGTTCTTTATAGTTATTTTTTCTTTTCCATATTCTTTTCAATTTTTCTCATCTATCTCGTTCTAAGTGCAAAAAATGTAATGCAGCGTAGATATAAAAAAAACGAATCTTATATAGTTCAATGTTTAATAAATTTCATAAAATATTAGAATATTAAAGTTATAAAATATTTATTATTGATATTACAAAGGTATTATATAAAAATACGAAAATTAACATTAAAATTGTTTAAAATTTTAAAATTTGTTTAGTCGATAATGATATGAAATTTTAAAAATTAAAACAAAAAATGTAAATTTAAAATGTAAAAAAGCCTGCTAGAATTTTATGAAATTCTCTATCGATAAGGTACAAATCTATTTAATTTTTTTGTTACCGACAGCTATCGCTACAAATGCTATGAATGTACGAACAAAACGTCGAGAATCACTGGGCCGAAAATGGCAACTCTGTTTCAGTTTGTAAAGCAATTTGGGAAAAATCTGATTTTCTCGGAATCTAATAGAAGCATATCACTGTCCGCAACCACACATTTAAAACAAAGTGAGTTCGTTATTAAACACACTTAACAGAGCGGAGCATATAATTTTATTACGAACTTATACTACCTGTACTAACCTGTACATAACCTTGTCTCAATAGCTCGAACTTACATTTAATTTCTTGTCATAGTAATTAAGAAGAAAGAAGATAATGTCTTAACTATCGAAGCTATAAGAGTGCCACACAAGAAGGAGCATTTATTATTAAAATTGGAGTCCAATGCGTGTCCCCTTTGCGCTACGGGACTTGACGTTAAACATACTGTAAGTTTTATTAACATTTTGTTGCACATTTCTACCAATGTAAATTAATTTTTAATCTTGGTTTAAAAATTAATTTTTAGTTTAACTTACTTTTTATCATTTTATAATTTTAAAAATTAGAAAAAGATAAAGATTAACTTACATTGAAATTAAAGTTAATCTATATTAGTAGAAATGGATATAAATACTTGTTTCTACTAATGTAGATTAATTTAATCTTGATTTAATTTATTCATCTTTTTAGTTAAACATTTAAATTGTATTGATAGAGAAATAGACAAAAATATTTTATAAGATGATCTATGAAATGTCATATAATTTAATTATCTTGCATTGCATATCTAATTTAAAATTTAATTGTCTTACTTTCAAGCTTTGGTAATCAAATTTTCAAGCTTGATATATACCTAGTACGACATTTTGTGTATCACTCTATATATTATATCAATAATTTATATTACTCATCAAATCTAAGGTTTTCTATATGTTTTGCAGGATGTTCTTATTCTAAATCAATTCTTACGAAAAAATGGAACCATACTGCCACGTAGAATAACTGGTCTGTGTACAATGCAACAGAATAGAGTTACCACTTTGGTGACTATGGCCAAAAGATCAGGTTTGTTAATATATATATTTATATCTAAATTCATTGAAGAATATTTTAAGCTTATCCTTTTTAACTGAGATTTTGCATTGTTCATCTCTCTTTTTTTTCTGTTCAATATAGAAAGAAAAAAGATAAACTATGTCAAAAATTCAACTGAAAAGAACAAATCTATTATTAACTCTTCATTATTTATGAGATATTCAAGACATTCCAATTTTATAAATTTGCCAAATACATGTATGTTTATACACATATTTGGCACAAATTGTTTTATAATGCAAAAATTTTTGTATTATCTTTAGCTAAAGCATTTAGATATACTGAAGTGTATAATGAAGTGTATATAATGAAATTCTATTCTATCTAAAGCATTTAGAATATTATCAATCTATATTTCATCATAAGTCAAAAAGAATAATGAAAATTGAGATATAATGTTGGGATGTTAGAAACATCTTTTCTACACGAGTAATTACACTAATTACACTAATTACATTAAAAGAATTACGTGAGTAATGTAAAGTTGAAGAATTACATTTCTAAGAAATAATGCTTGTCTCGCTTATTTTTTTAGGCTTGTTACCAAACAGAATTCCAAAACGGATTATGGCTATAGAAAAATGGAGAAAATATAACACATATTACGATGAGAATACCATACGATATAAATATAAACGATAAGAAATGTACAGCATAGAATCGAATAGTATATATTTTATTTACTTAATTGAGTATTATTATTTAATCGAACGTATTGATCTATTCTCTACCTAATTATCTCCTTTACAATAATATTTTGAAATTAGAAAAGCTTGGACCAAGACTTTTAGTGACATAAATTTCTGTAATTTAAGGTCATAATTATATGGAACAATGTTTGCAAAAGCATTGCTATCACGTAAGTGTTGTTGCAATGACTGTTACTCGCAATATTGGTCTCTTAAGCTGAGATACTTATCAATCTTGTTAAACTTTAATTTCAAGAAGTTTTTTAAATCTGTATATATACAATAGTTACGTTACATAATTTTTCTTTTGCTATAGCATTTGCCTACAATATAATTTATTATATTGCCTACAATATAATTTATTAAGATTGACATATATATATATATATATATATATATATATATATATATTTACACATACATTTTTATGTTTATGTATAGGCAAATTCAACATTCTTCACAATTTTTTTGGAATACCTGTAGTCTGACTTGCATTACATTCTTCGTTCTCTCTACTATAATTTTATCGATAGTGTCGGAAATGGAAGTAGCTCGTAATACTCAATTTGAAAATGGATATTGGCGGTAGTGTACCAAAGATTTTGAGGCTGGAATAGTCTCTCTCAGGATTCTCTCAGTTTCTGGTATTATAATGCGAGTGTAGTTAGTATAGATATAAATTATGAACTAATTAGTAACCACTGACGATAAAATTGATAACGCGATTTACAAAAGACATCTCGAAAAAAAAACCAATTTTGAGCAACTTAATATAAAAAAAAGACATACAAACTTGTTATTTAACATATTTTTAGCTGAGTTTTATAAGTATCTGAAAATGATACTGAAAACATCCTAGAAAAAAATATTTTTATATAATTAAATAAAATTA